GTACTGTAGATGCGGGTAAACATAATATGCGGCGAAAATTTGATTGGCGAGCGAGGTTGTCTGCAGAAAATCGGTATATTTGCCCGTATGCGGCAGCGAGCATGGGGCATCTGAATGCTGTAAATCTGCAGTGAGCATGGCCAATCGTAACTACTTGTCATGTTGTGACGACGTTTGATGAATGCATAAAGGGTGGCGATGTTTGTGTTGTGTAATGTCACGTCCATGCGCGTCGATGCATGCAGAACGTGTACGTGGATGTTGGGAAGCACACAGCGGCTGAGGTCTACTTTTGCGAAGGTGTCAATGTCGGTGTCATAATGAGCAAGGCGTCATTCCATTCGTAGGTCTCATAAACTGCACGTGATGAACGCACTTGCGTGGTTTCAAGTCGTGAAATGGAGTATTGGGCGAGAGAGGTCAAAAAATATACGAAAAAAAAAAAATTCTAACCCCGTATGCAGCGAATGCATTCATTAATCAAGATGTAGGACTCATTAGACGAATCGTGATATAATATATATATAATACGTGACCAGGTACTAGTCTAATATTTTCAACAAATGCCCCTTCTCACACACTACAACGATCTTTTTTACGTTGCGCCCTATGTACATTGAACCCCTTTCCTCGATAGCCATGCGATTCGGTCCCAGCCGCCCATTGGGGTTGGGGTGGGCTTTCAACGCTACGCTGTACCATGGAATGTTATGTGGACTGCAGTCTACCGTTGTAGACTTCCATTGATTAACAACATCGTGAACTTCCAAAAATGACGGAGGCGACGGGCGACCAGACGGGATGAGGGGATATTTTTCGACAGATCTCAGATAGACTACACATTGGTTCGGTGAGGAACTGAAGCTGTTTCTCCTATAAAGTGTATCTAGTCTATGTAAATAGACCTCGCATCCGTGGTTTGTCGTATGTACAGTGCTGTAATGCGGGAGGGAGGCCCCAGGTCCACACTGGGCGGCGAGGGCAAACTCACACTCTCTCCGTTGCGTTCTAGGTTCACACGCACGAAAAAATATTGTGTGCTGCGTCGCGATTTTTGCCGTCAGCCGAGCTGCTGCTGCTGCTGCTGTTGTTGTTGCTGCTGTCGTTGCTGCTGCTGCTGCTGCTGCTGCTGCTGCTGCCTCTATGTTGCCGCTGTTGTTCTCCATTGTCACAGGTAGGTGCTGAAGAACACGAACGAACGGTCTATAAATGTGTGCTTTAGACGTCGCTTGCACAGCAGTAGCGTACTGGAGTTCTCCAAAATACATAACACAGCCCGCGGCGGTTGTGCATCTAACTCAAGCTCTGTTGTGTACCTTTGTAGGGTACACTGACCAAGAAGCAGAGGAACTGGCGGCTTGTACAACGGCACACGTAGATATCGCTATGGTCGTGGAGACTTGCTTGAAGGACTTGGGGATCATGATCGAAAGGAAATCGGAGATTGCGTAAATTTCCATCCGGCGGGCGACCCCCTTCCAACATGAGGTGCTCTCCTGAGCCTGATCCAACCGCCAGCCGCCCATCATGTCCCCACGAGGCTGGAGCCACCCTTCTGAAGTCACGGGAAAGGAATATCGCCTCGAGAAGCAACCACTGCTGGTGCATCACCCCGCCCTTGGCGCTGGTCTTGCACCTGCTTGTTAGAGACACACATGAAGAACGCGGCGGAAACAAGTTCCCAACTTTTGAAATTGTTGCCCATGGAACATGCTCTCGAACAGTTTAATCTGAGCCCCATTGAGAGGTCGCCTTGAAATGAGAGTGGGTGGGTATTCAATTATTTTGCGGGCAACCTAGCCTACATACCTGATCTCTGCTAGGTGCCACGAGTTTGCACAGACGTAGGTTGCTGCAGCGTCTCTCTGCTGGCTGTTTCATGTTTTGAGATCTTGAGCGGACTGGCTCTCTTGCGACAATCCCAATCTTTCTGACCAGGGACGGAGGGGACAGAATAGCGAAAAGCGGTAGAAAGTACTAATAGCCTACTTTCTCCTCGCAGACATGTCAATATTGCCGGAACGAGAGGAAAACAGTTGGGAGAGGTGGTGAAAGGCAAGGAAAAACTGCCGGAGTACGACAGCAGCATATGCATGCCCGTATCTTTTCTCACCTGATCGAGAACCTCGTAACCGGCTGGCAGCTTCCCCTGAAAGTAACAGCCCTGCCGGGGCATGCATGTTCACCCCATCCGCAGGCAGGATCGGGCTCTTGCTCACACGTGAGCACGATTGTGTTGTGCTGCGATGGCTGGATCGTTGGCACTGCTCGATCTTGGGGCCCGGACTGCTGCATCGTGTCAGATCGGAGGTTGTCGGAATGAGGATGGGGAGAGCACATGGAGTATTTCGCTCTTATGAGCCCACCAAAGCTCGCATCGGCCATCGAAGCACGTGGGCGCGGTAATGCTTGGACTGGTTGCGGAATGAAGCTGGTTTTGGGAGAAGAAAAAGGTGTCAAGCGTGCACACGTGTTGCACGAGGCTCCGTACGAAAACAAGTCCGTCCAAAAATCGAAGCAGGGTACACTTTTTCGTGACACCAACGGTCGGACCCCCTCGGCGGAGGCGGGTCCAGGGAGGCTTCACTCAACCACCCCGTTCTTCATGCTCAGGGAAGATACCGAGGCGAAGCTCTGCGGGATCCTGGAAAACAACTTAGATTACACCTGTGAGTGGTTCACTGTTGCATTGCGTCCCTTGAATGGGAGAGAGACGCAGCGGACATGTGATGAACGGATGTTGTTCAACTTGGTTGCGCCGCGCTGGGAGGTGACCTTTGGTTGAAAGTTGTGACGTAATGCATGGGCCAAATCGCCCGATATGCGGGGATTACTGGGCTGTGATTGATGAAGTGGCGAATACACCCTGGTAAAAATTCGGATCAGCACTACGAAATGCGTAATCATCCTTGCCGAAGGTTGTCTGAAAAAGGCGGCGGAACCTCGAAAACGGCAGAGCCACGTCGCCGAGACGCCGGATAAGGTGACTACTTCTAGAGCTCGATCAGCTCGCCGTTCGAGGTTCATGGGATCATTATCTTGTGAATCGCTTTCCAAACATTCTTGGGGCCCATGGCCGCGCTCTTGATTGTGTGTCTGCCCAATTTGGACAGGTTTCAATACATCATGCCGAGCAGTCGCAGCGGCCGTTGTAGCGCCTGCCTTGAATGGGGACAAGACATCAGGCACACCAGGGCTAGGACGGGGGAATTAGTTCGGAGTTTTGTGGACGAGGCTGGTATCGCAGACAAGTTTCCCGGCTTTCAGTCGATCGCCGCGGGCACAAACTTGCTCGCATTGTGTAAACGTGCGGGTTGCCTGCTGGAGCTGTACCAGAAGCAGGAGTGGGCGCGAAGCAGGGAACGCGTAGCGCGGAAGGCTAAACAGATGCCGCGCCACAGCCGCATGTGGAGCGCCGCTCCTGAACCTGTCACGCATGACAAACGCCGGCGGCTTGATCGGTACTGTACTTTGCCGGAGGCGGTGGAGGTCCTGCAGAATGCCGTTGCAATAGCGGGTTGTGTGTTGGACATGTGCGGCGGACGGACCTGAGGACGCGGTGGCACAGGGGTTTCGGAGCACGTGTAAAGTTCTCACGAACGACGTGAGCTCGAGGTAAGGAGGTACTTCTTACGTGCGGTTTTCGAGTAAACCCGGTTTTCGATGTTACGTTTCCAGCAGTTTTGGGCGACATCATATGTGTATCGATTTCTCCTGATTAAACGCAAAGCAATGCTCATTTTTTTTTTTACCTCTGCCGGTGTTTGTTTCCGTCCGCCATACAAGGCTATCGGCAGGTACCAACCTCGACGCGAGCTTGCTTTCTTTTCGGGATAATTTCCGCAAAGCAAACCCCGGAAAGCAACCTGACTGGGTCGTCACAAGCCCTCCATACAAGGGTGCTGTGGGGTTTGTCAAGGCGGCTTTGGCAGTAGCGACGAAAGGCGTGGCGCTCAAACTGCCTCTGTCTTTCCTTGAACCCTGTGCCGATCGTGGTGGTTGGCTTGTAGGCAACCCCCCAGCTGTATGCATTTTTTTACGGAGAGCCAAGTACACGCATGCTCACCATGTCAAGGTCGGAGAATTTTGGGGGGTGTGGTATACCGATGGAGGCTGCTGCGGCAAAAGCGGGGGTTCGAGGCTTGTGTTCTGCCCTGAATAGAAGTGCTGGGCGGTGGTGCTGGTTGAATGAAGAAGGGGCTACGCCTGAGTTCCGTGCCGCCGAAAGCTCCTGCTTGTGGCCCACAAAAGAAAACTTCGAAGATGGGTTAGGGTTAATTCAGAACCGCCACCGCGGTGCAACGCCATAAACAAACGCCCATCCTTGGGTTGAAATGCACCGATGACAACAACATTTGCAGCACCTTCGACAACAACAAGATGTTCCCGTCCCGAAACACCAACATTTAACTTTTTATTTTCCCCGAATACCTTCACACAGACCTTTCATTTGTCCCTACCCCCGGTTCGCCCGGCAACACAACCAGCTGCTCTTGCGGGCTGGTCCAGTCCATCTGATCGAGCTGCTCGTACTCTGCAACATCATCCTCGCGAAATCCACCAATACTCACCCCCTCCGCCCAAACCGACCACGCCAGGCAAAACATCATCCTCATCATCGGATCGGTCGTCGTCGCTCTCCCCTTCTGTTGATTCTCCCCCACCTCTATCGAATAGCATGGCACTATCACAGGTCTCTTCCATGCAGCAAGCGCGTTTACATTTGCACAGCTCTGAGCAAATTGACCCTTTCAGTTTGCAGATGCAACTCGTGCATTGGCCCCTTCCCGGTACATCCGAACATCTACACTTCACCGTCTCAACCCCGCCCGGCCAGATGGTTACCTTCGGCTCTCTGCGCAACAGCATCTTACAACCACCGTCTATTTCTGGATCTTCCAAGTATCCCCTCATGTGCCACTCGGGTACTGCGATGGGATAGTTTCCAGAGGGTTCCGAACCTGCAGCACTAGCCGGCACAATCGAAAGCCAGTACTCTACCAGCCATTCCATCCGAAGCACACAGAGGTCGAGAACATCGTAGTTTGGGGCAGCCTCTCTGATTTTCCCATGGCCGTAAGCTGCTTCGGATGTACGTACGTGGATTGCATGAACCCATGCCTCCGTTTCATCAACCGCCCCGTTTCGCTTTCTTGGATCAACAATAGGCTCTACCTGGTGCCCGGGTGGATATAAAAACAAAGCCTGGTGCTTTTTGAAGTACGCGAGGGCGACAAACTTGATCAACTCTTCCCTTTTCAATGCCACCCCGTCAAACGCTCCATCCGTTGCAAACTCACCCAGCGCTTTTAGAAACCGATGGTTCTCGGGGTTCTTGACATACTCCAAAAACGACTGGAACATAAAAAACGACGTAAAACCAAAAAAGGTCGGGGTGAAGTCCGTTCCGCAAAGCATGTAGGCGGCGATGACAGGCAAGCACTTCTGTAAGGGGGTAAACGAAGTTGGCCAACTCGTTAATCTCGTCAGCGCGTTAAATAGCTCAAGTACGTCGATGCAGGGAACGGCGGCTTGGTCGTATAAGCCGCTCTGCTGTCGCACCACTACACGCACGTTTCGAGTCCATGGATGCGCGTTAGGCCACGGATCAAACTTGGCCGAAAGGCTCGAGCCCTGCACGGCAAGATCAATGAAAACGTTGCCCTCAGATTTGTTGTCGATATTTTGAAAAGTGGTGGCAAAAATAAAACACACACACATATCACGACATGTTTCTACATGAAACACACCTTGTTGATGACGCTGCTCCTCTCGGCGCGCTCATCCATGCCTAAGCCACCACCACCACCCGCAGTCGTCGGGCGCCCATTCTTGCCCACGAGAACCCAGCCGTCTCCACCCTGCTTGACTGCGGCGGTCTTCTTGTCTGCGGAAGGCTGCTTGATGATGACGGGCTCCTCGGCTGCGGCGGCGGGGTCCCTGGTTGCGACAGAGTCATCGTGGGCGGCGGGCTTGTTGATCACGCCAGGATCCGTCGCTGCAGTGGGCTCCTTCGCTTCTGCGGACTCGTTGGGTTCGGCGGGCTCCTTCACTGCGACAGGCTCCTTGTCTGCAGCGGGCTCCTCGGGGGCGGTGGCCTCCTCCGGGACGGTGGGCTCCTTCGCTGCAGTGGGCTCCTCGGGGGCGGCGGGTCTCTCCGGGGCGGCGGGCTTTTTCCCCGCGACAGGCTTTTTGGGTGCGGCGGACTCTATTGCTGCGACGGGCTCCTCGAGGGCAGCGGCCTCCCCTGGGGCGGTGGGCTCCTTCGCTGCGCCGGGCTCCTTGGCTGCGGTGGGCTCCTTCGCTGCAACGGACTCTTTGGCTGCCGGCTGGGGTTCAACCTTGAACACGGCTTCGAAGTGCCCACATGGGTGCCATATCGCCATCGGGAAATGTGGCTGCAGGTCGTTCCCGCCGTAACACGGAACGAGTTCCCCCTCTTTCGTCGCCTTCACGAGCCTGAAGCTTTCTAGACCTGATACGACAGCCGCGGCCTCCATGTGTTTCCCGTCCCAATGTCCACCGTCGTGTTCCGCCACCTTTAACCATGTCTCCCTGTTCAAGATGAGTAGGAGAGGGTTGGACATCAATTCTTCTATGGGCCTCTCCTGAACTTGGACGGTCTCAAAGAGGAAGTCATCAGTAAACTGTCCATCCTCCACCGTGGGGTGGATCCGTGCGCGTCCGAGACTGGCTACGTCGCGGCGAAGCTTTCGGATGTCAGCAAGTTGTTGCCGTTCCCCGCGGGATGTTCCGGGGGTAGCCCCGGCCTCGATCCGACGAAGATCGATGATGGATTGCGGACCACAATCTCCCCTCGCAGCGTTAGGCCACGGATTGAAACGCGTGCCATCCCTCAGACGAGACATTTTTCACCTGTCATAGTGCAAATAAAAACAAAAAAGAGAGGGTGATGATTAGAAACTAGCTGCTTTACTAATAAAATGAACCCACATCCCAGTTGAAGGGTATT